GCATAAAGTGGTATTAAATAAAACAAAAAACAATGATGTCACATTTCTCAGTTCCAGTGTTGTAGTTTTTTGTTTTGTTTTGTATAGAACAGATTATTTAACCCTCATAAAGATGTTCTTGAGCAGTTTCTCAAGTAGTTTATTCATCTTAAGCTGCCAATATCCAGCAACTACTAAATTGTCCCTAGCAATAATTTTGATCAAACAGTTAAAGTGGACATAACACACAGTTTCTGCAAATCTCATGTTGATCTTGAGTACCTATAGAGTAGTATTACATCCTTCATACCTCCGAAGAGTCTTTAGTTTGATCAGATTTATAAAAGACAGATACAGCTTTAATGCTTCTCTCCTGGAGGCGTACCGTGAGCGGAGCTATATAGTCACAAGCATGCGAAGCATTTGCGTAGCGATCGTCTGCAAGCTGTGACATCGACATAAAACAGGAACGAAAACTTCATTAATTTAAATTAACTATGGCTAAAAATCAGATCCAGCCATAAAATATTCCATCCAGAATCAGATCCCAACAACTTTCGTAACCCAAATGAAGCACGTGGATGGGCGTGCTCTCACTCTGGGCTACGTTTCCCAAAACCTTCGTCAGATTACTATGGTCTCAAGTTCCATTGAACTCTATTGGCAACAACAGAACTTGCTAATTTGTCTCCTCCGCATAACCCTGTTAACCATTTTGTTATCACGATCTATGCACGTGTTGTGATACCAAAATGGTACCAGGGTGACACGGAGGAGACGAATTGTTGACTAAAGTCGTTATTTTTGTTTTCTTTGTGCACAAAAAATATTCTCATAGCTTCTTAAAATTACGGTTGAACTACTGATGTTGCGTGGATTATTTTAACGATGTCCTTACTGTGTTTCTGAGTCTTGATTGTGGAAGTATCCTTGCTGTCTATGGAGGGTCAGAAAGCTCTTGGAATTCATCAAAAATATCTTAATTTGTGTTCTGAAGATGAACGCAGGTCTTACGGGTTTTGGAACGACATGAGGGTGAGTAATTAATGACAGAATTTTCATTTTTGGGTGAACTATCCCTTTAGCATGAAAATCCAACTCTTTAGCAGTATAAATAAGTCAGAATGCATGAAATGGCATTAGACATCCCCTTTAAATAGATATTTACCGCTATTTATTAAAACATTTATTCTGATTTCATGTGGTTTGAATTGGTTGTAATTGTAAATTTTATGCAATTTTTTTTAAGTTCACTCTCTTTGATAAACCATGATTTGTGCATCAGTCATCAGTCAGTCAGTAAGAGTGTGTCTCAGTCAGTTCCTTAGTTCACTAGTCAGTGCACTACTCAGGGATTACATAACGCTCATGCTCAAAACATTCCCACAATGCACCATAAAAGCCAGTATGCATTGCTGCTGTCTGTTGTTACGTCCCTTTTTCTTTTGTTTTGGGAGGAGTTTGTGTGTCTCTGTCCAGGAAGAAGACTGATTGGTTCCTGCAGTCTAATTGGTGCCACGCCCTGCCTGGTCAGCTGACTCCTAGCTGCTTATCAAGGCCTCCTTCATCACTTCCTGCACCAGCCTCATGCCCTGCTTTTCAAAAAGAACTCTACCGTGTCCTACTCTTTCATGATACGCCTTTACCCTAGATGGGGTGTAACACTATAGTATTGTTTCTTAAGGTCCATTAAACCAACTGAGCTGAAATACATGTGTTTAACTCATATACAAAAATCTTGAAAAATCAAAATGTTTCACGTTTTTAATATATCCATAATCATAGTCAAAACTTAATAAACTGACAGATGATAAAACACCACTCAACATAATTGTACAAAACAAAGAATTAACAGTTTGATGTGCAGGTGGTGCAATGATGGACAGGATGAAATGAACGAGCAAACTTCACTTAGAAGCTAATTTAAATACAGGATCAGTTCATTTGCATATTGATCAGATGCTTCAGTGCTCTGAGAGTGTTTATAGTGCTGTGAGTTTAACACTTCATCACTGACACACACAACAATCTTCATCAACATGACCTTCATCATCATCTTCATCTGGACTCTCACAGCGTTTGCTCAAGGTTTGTGGAGCACAAGTTTGATATGAATTCATTTCTTCAAGTATATTGTCAGAGTTTTGAGTTGATTTTCTTCTTGTTGTGTGTTTCAGAGAGTAGAGGACAGATCAGCGTCACTCAGAGTCCCTCAACGACAGCAGCTCAACCAGAAGAAACAGTCAAAATCAACTGTAGAACCAGCACAGACGTGTACAGGGATAGTGATGGGGATGTCAGTCAGAGTCACAGTGATGAACTGATGCTGCAGCTGCTCAAACACTATCACTGACACACAACAGGGCATTTATATAAATATTGAATTAAATATAAAGCATTCATTTTAGTTTTTAACATGATAAATGCTTAAATCTACAACACTTTATCTTATTGAATTTGTCTAACATTTTATCTGTGAGGTTCATAATTTGGCCACATGTTTGTTTCATCATGAATCTGCAGGTGTTTTCATGCTCCAATGAGTGAAGTTTATTAATAAGTGTGAGCTAAAGACCACAAACACAAGTGACACAAAAAGACTCAAAGACATAAAGCTACAATTTTATTTATTGACTGAACTGTAATAAAATCACGACAGAATGATAAATCACACATATAGTCTTGTATGAAGCACACAAAGCAGAGCAGATGCAGATGCGAGCGACTGAAGCTGGATGTGGAGAATGAAGGAGTCGCTCATGTGCTGTTAGTCTCCATGTGAGACATGAGTGAGAAGAGCAGCAGATCTACTCTGAACACTGCTGTCTCGTCACGTGTCCAGTGAGCGCAGGCTGGCCGCTCCGTGTGGCCTCACAGCTCACTGAGACGCTCTCCATCCACTCCTGCTCAGAGAGAGTCAGGCTGCTGCTCCAGCTGTACAGACCGTCCTTCTCCAGGAGCCCAGCGCTGCTCTCCTAAAAACGTGGCGTAGCACTTTCCAAAACATCCGCTTTTCAAGATGCACGTGTATATTTGGCTGATCCTTGACACAATCGCCGGCAGCAGCGCAAAGTTGATTCTGTGCTTACTTGATCAATATTTGATGTTGTTTAACATGTTGTAATTTAAGTAGCAAATGAGAATCGCTCAAATTAATGCATATATTTTGAGACAAAGGTCTTCTTAACTATTGTTTTGTTTGAGATAATTAAAGCAACAGTTTTTAAATAACGAAAGAAAATTAAAAAATATGGTATTTGGGGTAAAAAGCACCCCTGCTGTTGGGGCTAAAGGCACAGTAACTAACTTGATCATTAATAGATGGCTGACTTTTCCATTTGTTGACATGACATGGTTAGATTCAGATGGTAAATATCATATATTATGTTGGGTGTCCACCTTAGAGATAATCACCATGTTTAGAATGAAACCATCATATTTAAAAACGTGATATTAATCATATCATATAATAAAATATAATTTGTTGTTACTAGCCTACTGTAAGTCTATATTAAATTATTATGGGATCTCCTTCAATGCTTTCAGAATCTTTTTTTTTATTATTATTTTGTTTCTGTATTTTAAAATTTATATTTGTTACATTAACATATTTTAATGATAGTATATTTATTGAACAAATTAATTATTTTATTTTTCAAGATAAACAGAAAATAGTACAAACTTTGCTAAACTGATACTGGCCACCTCGTACATTTATAAAATTTTTAAACAAAATAAAGGACTTGTATGATTTATTTTCAAACAAAATCTGTTGCTCCATTAATGTTCAGTACAAACATATATGTTTTTTTCTGCAATTATACATTTTAGGTGCAGTGAAAAGCAATTTTGTTAAGGTGTGCCTTTAGCGTCGTTGTACCATATATTGATTCAAAGTGTCATTTTCGTTATCAACTTCAATGTTGAACTGAAGCAAGCTTTTATTAAAAAAGAATCAAAGATCAGATGTGAGTAAATATAATAACTGCAGGAGTTCATTACAGTTTGTGATGACAGCATGAGAAGATTGGGTGCAAATGTTTTTTTAAAGTACAGAAAATATAACTTTTGTCTGCCATGTCTACTATAAATTATTAACCTATCAAAAATTTGTAAAAAAAAATTAAATAATAATAATACAATTAAACAACCATTATTTCCTAAAATATCTGCAGGTTTTACTTAAAAATCAACACACTAATCTGAAAATTTAAGTTGAGGTTGATTGCCAAATATTCAGAGTGAACTAAAAAATAAAATTAAGATATATAAATAAGTGAAAATGTGCATCCTTTCTTTAGTGTAACAAAGTGTTTAACAGTCAGTTGCTGTATTAATAATATTAAATGATGATTTACTTACTGCCAACATCCAGTTTGGTGCCGCTGCCGAAAGTCCTCCACAGTGATAGAAACTAATAGAGCAGCTGAACAAAAACCTCCTGAACGCTTCACTAACTGCACAAACACACATCAACTGAGTCTCCAACAAACACATCCACTCACAGCAGACATCACCTTCAGTTACTTCATCTGCTTTATGCAGTCTGTGTTATTACTAAAGCATGAAACTGAATTTATGAAAAAATTGAAATTTTATATCTTATGTGACGTGACTCACAATCAAGCTCAGTTGATTCAGTGATTGACAGAGACTCGTGTGATGATCCTCATGCCTGTAAAACCTGCAGCAACATCCATGGATTTGGCATCAAATTGAGGGATTAACAGTCATGTTTCTCTCCAGCTACAGTCAAAAATATTCTCAAAGTCTCACAGGAGAGAGTCAGGATAATATACTAATGTTGGTCTTGTAGATTTATTCAGAAGTGAATGATCTGATATAATTTATAACAGCTTAGCTATTAGAATATTTAATATTGAAAGATTAATTAGTAACATTATTTTATGTCTGTTATTGAGTGACTGTCTTCAGGTAAATGATGTGGAGTATGTTTGCATATTGATCAGATGCTTCAGTGCTCTGAGAGTGTTTATAGTGCTGTGAGTTTAACACTTCATCACTGACACACACAACAATCTTCATCAACATGACCTTCATCATCATCTTCATCTGGACTCTCACAGCGTTTGCTCAAGGTTTGTGGAGCACAAGTTTGATATGAATTCATTTCTTCAAGTATAATGTCAGAGTTTTGAGTTGATTTTCTTCTTGTTGTGTGTTTCAGAGAGTAGAGGACAGATCAGCGTCACTCAGAGTCCCTCAACGACAGCAGCTCAACCAGAAGAAACAGTCAAAATCAGCTGTAGAACCAACAAAGATGCACTCCTTTGGGGAGGGAGTTATTATTTCAGCTGGTACTTACAGAGATCTGGAGAAGCACCTAAACTCCTGATTTATTATGCAAACCGCCTCCAGCCAGGAACTCCATCTAGATTCAGTGGCAGTGGATCTAACAGTGATTT